TCAACTGGTCAAGGAAGTGCTATTGTTTTTTCTGTCTGTCCATTGTTGAGTCGTCGCCTGTCCATTGTTGTCAAAAACTGTACATATACTTAGTATGCTCACATCTACACTGTGAAGGAGTACGAGTCCGGTATTCCGACTATCAGTAGGGACGACCACGAGCAGGAGAACGCGGCTCGTAGGAAACGCCCTAGGGTTGAGCAGGTACTCCGCTCACCTCTTTTATGTCTTGTGTATTTGTTTGTCATGCAACTAAAGAAGTCTGGGCTCAACGTATTCCTTCGTCTCGTCAACATACGTACACTTCAAGCGACCATATCCACGCGTTGACATATGTAACGTCCTTATTGAGATATCTACTTTCACAACGGAAAATCACTGAAATATAGAGGAAAGCGTCTAATTGCTTTCCAATATCATGAGATATACAATTACGTCTTGCTACGTCATTGCTGCCAGCTAAGGGGATGCAATGACATCAAACAGAATCGCGTCTGGGAATTACGGTGGACAATTCAAAGAGGAAGAGTACCAACGTCGGTATACAATTGGACTTTTTCTGACGCCAAATGTCGTGCATGAATACATCAGTGAAGATTACATATTTACTACTGTCAGATTCATCAGCAACTTTAAAACCTTACTTGACATAGCATCAAATACGATTCAGAGTCCCTCTGTACATAATTCGTAGCTTACATAGATTTCATAATGCAAAACACGAAGCTGAACCAAAAGCGATGACTTCTTTGCTGACTGTCACAGAACCACACTGACGCAACTGAAAAACGTCACTCACCCCTGATCATCTGTTTGTTGAAGGAGGACGGTAAGATTAATCTATATCTGACGATTAATTTGTGCAAATGCACGTTAATTAAAAGGTTACGGTCAATTGAAAAGTCTTGAAAAGGTAAACGGAATCGTTTGGATAAGCAGGTTATTGATATCGAGACTTACAAAGTACTGACACATTCTTAACAAATAGCTTAACTCGATAGCATTGGTATATGCTATCGAGCTCAAAACAGCATGCTATGATCTTTCTTACCAAAGATCCCCCTGTTGTAGGAGCAAGACGTAGCTGACGACAAAGGATAAATGAAGTAGTCACCAATCAAACAGTGTCGTGTATTAACGTTCTTCTAACTTCTAATTGCCTATCAAAGAATACGTGAAAACGAGGTTGACAATAATATACTGGTTTATTCTTGCAAAACTAATTACAGGATAATAATGATGATAATTAGTGCACTGTCACAAACCATCAAAATACAGATGGGAAATAGTTAGGAAATAATTCTTGATGCTTTCTTATTTACAAGCTTTCATAACTTATAAATTTTACACTTATAGTCTATGAATAATTCTGCAATCTTCGTGATGGCCATCGCAACATCTGCCGATGACATAAATCTTCTCAGACAAAATATGGAAACAACAGTGGAACTAAATCCTTCGAGTGTCAGACAACACAACCATTCAAGTCAAGAAAGGATCAACTCTTCTGTTCAACAACAAGCATGCGACTAATTGTCCACCCTCCTCATCAACAGACATCGGAACGCCAACAGACAATCGATTCATTGAAGCACAGTGACAATTACGCTTGATCTTCTTTGTTACAATTGCCCCATCCACCTGTTACAATTGCCCCGTGCTAGGGGTCAATTGTAACACTTGTAGTCATTGCATTTGATACGTAATAACTTTGTACAGACATGATAGTGAACTTGAAACGACACTGAGGTTTAAAGCCAAGAAGCCACTGTACTAGTTAGTACCGATTAACTTTGTGAGCGGTCGTCTGGGATCGTACTACAACAGGGATACTCTACAACTTATATAGTCTCCCTCACTACAAGAAGTTAAGTAAAAAGTGTTACAATTGACCCCGGTATCCCCTAATAATTCTGATAAATGTTCCATCAGTAAACTCATAACTATGTATATACTTTTATATGAAGAACATAATATCAAAGTTGACAAAACTATGCTTTTATGGCCTATATTTAATCATGTTAAATAAATTGGGGCATTTTAACTACCCCCCTGGGGCAATTTGACCAAAACTCCGGGGCAATTTGACCAAATTTGCTGGGGCAATTTGCAGCGGGGGCAATTCGACTGGCAATCGTTCTTGATTTAATTTATGTTAAAAATACCACTGACAGTAAGCTGTAACAGGGAATGATGGAGTATAAATTAATCTCGTGGGTAATTCTTTCTTCTTCAGCCTAGCTTTGGGATTTGTATGCCCCATGTTTGCTTGTCTCTTTCATATGCGTCCGACTCGGAATGATCGGACCATTTCTCCTGCCTAAGTCTCTCTCTTTACTTGGAAAACGGAAGAAATTGTGGCTTTCCATTGTTCGATGATTCCGTGCATCCCAAGGCAACAGAATACACCATCGTACCATTTACAAAAACGACAGAAACAACACGATTTGTACTACTGTAGCGCTTGGTCTTTGGCAATATGGCGGACTCCAGGCACATTTGACGTCACGAGCGGAAAGGTCACGTGGGTTCCATCGAAATATGCATAATGGCCGAAGCTGAGATTTACAGAAACTGTTTTCGCGATTAAAACATAACTATACATAATTTTTAATTGAAAATTTGGGAATATGTTTCTGATGACTTTATCTTTCACCCAGCAAATTATTGCAATTCACTCGTATTCTCCTTTAAGTACTCATAATATTAACCACTAACCACTTTGAATGGTTACCTAGTCGTGAAAGGCACTGTGATTTGCTGCGCAGAGTTGGCTTTCTTGGGCACGGCAGAAACCTATGGCCCTTGGTTCGATTCCCGATTTGACCTGATTTTGTTCCTAGGAATGTAAGCACCAAAACTGTGAGCGTCTGAGGGCTTACAACCAGCTGAGACGCCGTCATATACCTTGAATAATTTTCAAAGCACTTGTAAACCCAGTGTTGCCACTCACTCGTTATCAACTTTTCATAGTCAAAACATCCGTTACGGAAACTAGTCTGTACCAAAGCTACACATGAAGGACTGTGATTGGAAAGACTGGCAGGACACGGGGTTGCCTTATGTATAAATTCAGCTACTACTCACAATTTGCTGGGGATCACGTTTCTGATGATGTACAAAAATAATCCAACAAATAATGAATTTTATATGTTCCCGGTACACAAGGATTGGGTAGCCCCTATGTAAGGACCTTAATTTAATGATTTCATGACAGAGACATGCAGTGATGGGCGCGAAGTAATTTGTATTGAAACATGGTCAGTTTCATAATAGGACTGCTGGTTTATAACATTTGTGTTGTTTGTTGGTTGGACACTGAACTCTACAAATTTCGTACAGATGTATTGAGTATAAGAATCAAAAGTCTATGTGGCACTGTGGTAGAAATATTCATACATTAGGACAGAAAAATTCATCATAAGTAAGTGACCTCAATAAACTAAACAGCAATTTTTATTCGAGAATGGACTTAGTTTTCTATAAACAAAACTACTTGTAACCGCTCTTGCCTAAGGCTCATGAAGTTCCAAAATTATAAAGGGGGCGAAACTTTGGAGGATCCTCGTAGATCATCACACTGGCTCAAACGTCAGATGTCAAGATCTTCACTGATGAAATAGCCTAACTGGTAAATTGGCATTGTGGAAGTTAATGGGTAGCATTTAAGATAAGATGTGGATGTCAGGGTCTTTTCTCTGTTATCATAAGGGTTTGAGGTAAACCCCATTACTTGTACTGACGGGTTATACCTGCAATATACATGATCTGGGCTCCACTTGGTGACTGTGGACCGTGGACCGTGAGCAAAGTGATCACCTATCATATATTTCTCAGTAACAAGGCCGAAGACTTTCTCATCGAGTTTTCAAGATAACTGTGACTGACGTTCTATTCCTTCCAAGGCCGGGGTTCAAACCTATACACAGATGGGGTGTGGCCTCATTGCCTCGTCAAAGCTGTCTTTTGATGCAAAACAATGCAGTATTCAAGTACATTCCATGAAATATCATAAAATTGACTTACCGGTTCAGTGTAAAGCAGTATGTTATGAAGGCTCACTATAAAATGTATGGATGCAAACAGCCTAAAAAACATACATTTTGAAAATATATTTCTCTTTTTTTAAATCCAGATTTGAATTTCCCACTGCATCAGTCAGGTGGCTAAAGGAGGGGCATTTCCATAGAAACAAGCCTGTGAGTGGTTTAGAGTTTCATTCAGGGTTTCATGTTTCAGGCAGGCTGTGAACATGACCCCCTCCCCTGACCCCATGCTATGCAGGGTTAGGGATGTACACTTAATTGATGCTGACATCACCATGCTGAAGATTTTTTTTTCTTCAGAAAAACAGTAAAATTTGAAATTTCATATATGCTAATCAAATTAAACTCTTTAGTCATCACAATATGTAATGAAGGGGGTTTGGGACATTTTCAATAAGGCACATGCTTATTCCAGCAGAGACCATCTATTATATGGTCTCTGATTCCAGTTAACCTTTCACATCGCTAGGCTCTTGCCAGGCACCCATAGCCGTTATGTACAGTCCTGTCACTCATGGCAGATAACAGCTACACTACTCAGGAGTAGCCAATGGGAAACCCATGTTGTTGTTGTTTAGGTTTGAACCCCCTTTCGTTGCAAATTACCTGAGAAATAATTGCTTGTTAATAATCTTATCCCGAGTTAGATCGCCTGTTCAGTTGTTTCTATGACGACATCTCCACAGCAAATATGGTAAAAACAGTAGAGTCTAAATATTGTTGTTTCTGTCCTCCATAGACAGATCTGTGTTACCTTTATGTAAGGTTTGATTCCATCGTCAATGAAATAATGTCGAATGTGAACACATTCATTAAACAGATTTGCCATTTCTTTGTACATATACCTAATTTCTGCAGTTATGGATTTTGGTTAACGTTACTGGTGACGATACAACGTACAACCAGGTGCAAAGTAGTGAGAATGACGTTTGCGTGTTACGCGTATCACCAAGTCCCAGTCGTCATTCATAAACAAGGCAATAAGGTCGGCAAACCCAATCAGTGCCTCCTGCTGATACTGACCGTATGACATTCTTGTGCGCGCAGGGATAATCAGCATGGCATAAACAGTCCATTCACCACGACCTGCCATCATCATTCCTACTTCATTGATCGCTCTCTAGTGTTATTTGTCTACTGTCATGGAGCACCTTATTCGTGGTTGATTGTGTTGACAACTCCATGATGTCTGCCATCATGGTCTTGAGCAGCGCGTAGGTGGAAGGCAGTATGCATGCTCAGAAAAAAGGACAAGGCGAACTGACGCTAGGCGAACATCCGTGCCGGTGCACTGCAGTCACAGCAGGTATCATTCATAAGTGTAGGAGGGACATGGCCTAAGAGAAGGAAGGAATATGTGTGATGCACGTCCATTACAGAAGAGATTTGAGAGATCGGCGGCATATTTGTTTCACGTTAACATATAGAATGATGTACTTGTTAACATGACAGTGTGTGCAACATCTTGGGAATAATGTTATGGAGCATGTCATCGTATACATGCCCGAAAATGAAGATGCTTTGATTGATACAAGCTGATGTTTAGTTCCTGCCCCAGGTAAGGTCACCATGGCCACTACCACATTAAATTTGGGACAAATTCTGTTCTCATCTTCGACAGAGGAATCTTCTATTTTTGTATCAGCCTATACTCAACGAAACGAAGCGATGGGAGCAGCGATTGTCACAACCACTAGGCAGTCGGTACGTATCACTGTTTAACATGTCATTTCATCTCAATGCATGCCTACCCTGCGTTTTCATTCTGAGAAGTATGACATGTCCTCATAGAGTCCCAGTGTTTTTCCATCCATAACATATCTAAATGGATCCATCCTTAGTTTTCAAAAAAGTAAAAGATGACTGTTAGACCAATCTAGAGATAATCAATGACCAGCTTCTGGCAGCATCATATATCAGAACAGCTAACCATCAGAAGGCAGCAGTGTCGCATCCAGGGAGTTTGTGTTGGCCTGATATTGATTTATTGGTGAAATGGAAGGGCCAAATACAAAATGATTGAAACCTTCATAGTGGTGAATCTGCTTTAGTTTTAAACCAGTAAAGTCAGTCTTTTCACACAAAATGACACACCCTCAAATTGTAAGTAATTCTCTACATTCAAGTAACAGGAACCTTGCTCTTGCATCAGAACAGTGGACAGTTAACAGATATTGTGGGCACTTAAAGCCTTCTTTTTTTCTAGAAAACAAGCAGCAAAAAGAGAACAATGTTAGGAAACATGTTAGCGCTATACTGCAAAACAAACCTGAGACTCTGGGGATCACTGCCAAAAGAGACTTCTAGTGCATGTGCTTGAGCCAAACAATGCTGGCCAGTGTAATGTAGGTCAACTAAAGGTCACATCAAAGCTAACATAAGCTGACTCTATAATGTCCATGTTTGGCAAAACCATCAATAGTGTTGGAGACTTTTCAGCTGAATCAATATTTTATGGTGTATTATTCAAAGCAATGAGTGAGTTAATATTTAAAGTCACATTGGCAATATTTCAGCCATATCGTGACTACAAAAGATATCTATTAATAAAGGCCAATTTAGATTAAATAAAAACCTGTCACAAGATATCACAGAATTTATATTTAGAACTAGTTCATGACCATAAAAATATAGTTTTCTAAACAAGGGATGAAATGGGATAGCGCGTTATTATCAGAACTGCGGTATTTTGCCTTCGGTTCAGTAAACCATAATGCAGTCCAACTATTTGGAATTTTCGGTTTTCGTACCATTGTTCTATCTAGTTATAAAATGACAGTTTTGTTCAATAAAACAAACAAGGATTATGGTTTCCATGTTATCAAACAGTGTAAGGTTTTATTCTTGTCAATTTTCTGCATGCATTATGATCATATCTTATCTACCAAACCGAAACAGACCAAACCGAAGGCCTTGTACTGCAATAGGTACCGTACCGCGGTAAGAGCGTACCGTTTCACCCCAGTCAACAATACAATATAAAAATGGGCTATAGATCGCCAACAACTGAAGGTAGATCACCATACTAGAGACCATTGGTACTTACAGTGCTTTTGCTACCTACATGGACTCAATCTGGATTTGAACCATCCCTTCAGCTGTTAGCGACTGTATGCAGTGTTAGCAATTGATGTAAAATCTACATCTATACTCCAATTAAAAAACTTTGGTATATACAACTATGATTTGAATGATGTGGGCTTACACACCCTTTGATCAGAGATAATATGTTACAGTACTTCAACTCCCATCAAGGGCATGGCTACTGACAATCTCAGTTAATAATCATATACTACCGTTTTATAAAGTATTTAATTATATATACATAAAAATTTATGGATTAATTCTATATCTTTTTAAAACCACAAAGTTAAATGAGAATTGACATTTTTAAAAAGATCCTTAACTGTTTTGACATTGAAATATATATCTCTTGTGATGGAAAAATCATTACAGTCAAGCAGGACATGCTTGATCGTGATTCTTTCATCACAAAGGAAACAAAACGAAGGATCCTCACCTTTTGATAAATAGCAATTAGTGTAATCATTTTAGTTTACGCCGCACTCAGCAATATTCCAGCTATATGGCGGCGGTCTGTAAATGATCGAGTCTGGACCAGACAATCCAGTGATCAACAGCATGAGCATCGATCTGTGCAATAGGGAACCGATGACATGTGTCAACCAAGCCAGAGAGCCTGACCACCCGATCCCGTAAGTCGCCTCTTACGACAAGCATTGGTTACTGAAGGTTCATTCTAACCCGGACCTTCACGGGTACATGGCAAATAAAGATTAATGACAGAGATCACATAACCTTTTGGAAACAATAGGGTCAATGACAAATAATAAAGGCCATTTGTGTCCATTGGTTTACCATTAATATTCCAATCCTAATAATAATTTTGCCAACTACTAATAAGAACTGAATATATATACATGAGCATTAATTAAGCATAACCTGAATCTAAGGGCTATTATAAAAAAATTGGTCCAAACAGGAGATCATACCCTAGCGTACTGGAGTGCACATGAAAGCATGTGCTTCACACAATGTCTTAAAAGCTGTGGGTCACATGTTCACGTGAAAGCACCAAGCACACTGGGGTATAAACGTTATAATGGCAGTGTGTGCACTACTGTTTTCTTGGAGTCTTACTCTCCACCAGTACCATCATAAGGAGCATGCGGGCTGCTGATCTGAGGACACACATCCCTTCCTCAAAGATAGGCAGAGCGTGGTACAGGCCCTGACAAAACTGCACTGGTCTGATGACGTTATCTTCTAATCTTCTACACGTTACTGACGGCTGTTGTTGTGTATGGAAATGATCAATGCACCTGAACATTGGTGGTGGCTCAGTGATGGTGTGGTGGTGTTTTTTTGTATCACTGCAAGTTGGATCTCATTACAGTACCTGTGACTTTGACTTTGTCATGTTATCAACAGGAAGTAATGGATACTGCCATCATACATCATTTTGATTCCCATCCCCTTACCAGTTGCCTGATATTCAATGGATCACAACTCTAAAACTCACTGTTGTCAAGCCACCATCACCCATTTGCAGAACACTGCCATCAATATGAACACCATCAAACATCTATGGCATTAAACTGATTGCCAAGTTTGAGCCAGAGATCCTCCTGTTCAAAATCTGCTGGAATTGAGATAGGCACTCCACGAGGAATTGTAAAGGATTCTGATGCTGAAAATTCGAAGCTTGATTGTCAGTATAAGTAGGAAACTGGCATATGTTATCTATGAAAGGCGTGACTACAGCAGATACTGATGTGGTCGGCACCAGTAGTTGCAATACTTGTTTGAGAACTGTGTGACAGATTGGTGGTGTAGTCATGGTCACTATACTTTCCAGCATTGTTGATATTCATGTTTGTATGTATTCCATTGACACTGCAAACTGTAAATTGTTACCAAATTTTAATTTCAGTTTTGTGGTTGTTTTTATCGGACAAAAATATGTTATATTAACCATTTATTTATGTGGAATTTGGTTTTCAAAGCATGTACATTATGTCGTATCAGAAGAAGTAGGTGGTGCTAATGTGTGTATATTCTATTGGTGCTATGACATTGACTGATTTGTTGTTTTTACACCTGTGTTCTGTGCTTTGATAACAACAAGAATGTTAAGATACCAAATGTCATCAGAAACACAATTACAAATTAAGTTTAAGCCTCAAAATCTTATTTTCAAGAGTTCACATTTGTTCATTGTTTCAATCTATTAGGTATTGTTGTAAGATAGCTAAATATGTTTAAGTTTTATGCAAGTTTGTGATCCATTGAATATCAGGCAACTGGCAAGGGGATGGGAATCAAAATGATGTATGATGGCAGTATCCATTACTTCCTGTTGATAACATGACTCCAGAAACGGCTTGGGGAGGCTAGAGGCTCGTGTGGAGCAAACTGCGGCGATGTCAGCTCGTGTGGAGCAAACCACGAATACGTTGCCGGCTCGTGTGGAGCAAACCACGAATTTGTTGCTCGACATCTTGTCGATGATGGACAAGGACGACGAGGAAGAGGAAATAGAAAGCGTCGAGGAGGAACAAGAAGAGACCCGTCTGGATATCCAGAAGGTGCGGCAGATGCTAGAAACAGCCCAAAGGTTGGCCTACCTTTCGATAGCTGCCCTGTTTCTCTGGAAGGTCGTCCACAAGACCTGGAAACACAGCACACCACCACCGCCGGTCCACAAGCAGGCCCACGAGATGAATACGACAACAGCAACGCCAAAACATAGGGACCCCTTCCACATGAACTAGAAAAAAAAAAATATTGTACACAATTCGAAGTATATACTGTACTGTGTATACATCTCGAGAATGCATATTGTATACAGCAGAGGAAATCCAGCCCGCTTCCCATTCGAGGAGTTCCCGAAATGCCCTAGCAAACAAACCCAGTGTGGAATACAATTCCTTGCAAGATCTGGAGCACATTGCCGAGAAAATAGAAACTGCTGCCATACTTGGACATACTTCTGCAGAAACGGCCAAGGAGTGGAAGAAGTGGTCTCTCGGTTGTTTGTATCCAGTAGCCTATCGTGGGAAGATTTTGTTCTGCATTTCTACTGGCCATGTTGTCTTGTAGGCCTTGCAATTACTAGCGTGCAGAGTCTATCGTTCTTTTTGTGGGGGTTCTTTTCGGTTTGCCGATGGAGCAGAGAATTGGAGTTTCGCTGTTTCGAAGGTGCATGTCTGGGATGTACATCGAACGATGTCTCTGCTCGAAATTGTAGAGGTGCTTGTTGGGAGTCTGGGATGTACATCGAACGATGTCTCTGCTCGAAATCGTAGGGGTGCATGTCGGGGGTCTTGGATGTACATCGAACGATGTCTCTCTTAGAAATCGTAGAGGTGCATGTCGGGGGTCTGGGATGTACATCGAACGATGTCTCTGCTCGAAATCGTAGAGGTGCATGTCGGGTCGAAAAATGGATTTGTGGTTGCTGAAAAAATGGGTTGCCCTAGCGAAAATGAGATTCTTATAATACCGTACGGCACAATGTTACCTCCTGTCAATGCGTCATAGCGGCACAGTAGTGCCACGTGGGGTCGGGAAGTTAACTGGGGGTTCAAAAGTAGTAGATATACTGGGGCGAGATCTAAGGGTCTGACAAAAGCTTTATTTGTGAAATAAAGCTTTGCAGAGGCTTTTGTTGGACTTGGTCC